GTAAGTGTGCGTGAGCTGGGCAGGGGCAGAGACAGAGGGAGAGAGAGAGAGAATCCCAAGCAGGCTCCACAGCAATTTGGTTTTAAACATGTGTCCTTTTCTACTAAACTACGAACCCGCTGAGAACAGAGACCACGTGGTACCACAGAGCCTGGTATTTGGTAACCACCTGATAAATATTTTTAGAAATGAATAAATGGACTTTAAGCAAAAAGGATCTGGAAATCACAGTAACATTATATATTAATAGCAGAGGAGATTTTTTAGCTAAATGATCCCTTTGTTCCTGACTCTACTGACAAGTAATCAGAAGCACATACAAAGTCACATGAAGACATTTTTGATGTGGGTTTTGTTCTTAATCAGTTAAAAGAGGAGATTAGGTCATCGGAAAGGCTTTCTTTCAGGTCTCATCTGTGGATCTGAAGAGCAAATGAATATGGGAGAGAACTATATTTGAAAAACTGCCATTTCAATAATTTACAAAAACCTAACGATTTAACATCAGGATTAACCATGGAGGTATCTGAAGCACAGGGGGGTTATATCTGGGTAACCGTGTCTAATGAGCTTAGTGACAAACCCACCTGTTTCTTCATTCTCTCACATTCAGAGATTTCTGCTTTGATTTTGTCAGAAACGTGGGCGGTTTGAGAAAGAAAAATACTTTAAAATTTACTTCTTCATGACCCTAGTAAGGGGAGCTCACTACACCTCCTGCCACTTAGCACAGACATGCTGATTTAAGAATAAGTGTTAGGCGATGTGGGTTTTAATCTAACATACCGCAATGGAGGAAAAATTCTTTACCTCTGCATTTCGGTAAAGAGCTTCTGGGAACTTGGCCACAAGGTACCTGGGCGTTCTTTCATCAAGGAACATTTATCACGATTTGAAAGTCCCAAGCTCTCACCACCCTAAAATTAGTTCTGAAGAGGGGCACCTATAGCTATAGGTAGTAAACAAAGAACAGGGAAGGTGGAGGCATTGTATCTGAGTTTAAAGCTGGCTTCATGAGTTCAGCCTCCTCAAGCCTTCTAAGGCCCATGTAACCAACTCCTAAGATGGACGTCATTATCATCCTCAAAGGGCTCCTGGGAAGAGTGCCTGAGATAATGTTTCTGGAGCATCTGGCGGAGGGGCTGGCAACTTGTGAGGCAGTCAGAAAACAGTAGTTTCCTTTCTCCCCACTTTGAAGATTTATTTGCTGGGGGGGGGGTACAAAAATGTAATACATGGTACTCAAGGAATTTATAATCTAGGTGGTAAGGCAAAAGCCACGCCTGCATGGCTTACATGACTGGGTGAGAGAAATATCTAGCCAGCAGTATGACTCACAGAGCTCTGGAAAGTAGAAAAGAAAATGGACTATCATAAGTGGCTGCAGCAAGGGAAGGCTTCCTGGAAGAAGCAGAATTTGAGTCAGAGCTTTGAGAGTGGTGGGGAATGAGATGGACAGAGAAATGTGGGTAGAGCAGGCTAAGCCCGACAGACATAAGAGAACTACCTAATGAGAATGTACACGGCACGTTCTGGTAAAATGAACAGACTGGTCCTGCTGAAGAATTGCTGCATATTGGCACGGGACACCTAAGGCTTTTGGTCAACGGTAACGGCGCTTAACAAACCGGCTTAAGAAACTGGTCTTTATTTTGTAGATAATGGGAAGCCAGTGAAGGTTTTGGGACAGGAAAGAGCATGGCCAAATATCATCTAGAAAGCCTGCAAGGATACAACATTCACGCTAGCATTATAAGCCATGCTGCTGTGAAAAAAAAAAAAAAAACCCTTTCATTATACTAATACTTAGTAAATCACTGAAGACCTACTCCAGAACTCCAAGGAAAACATTTTATGAATCAAAAGCTAAGTACAATATGTTAGCAATTAAATGAGATAACATAATAGCCGAGGCAGAACCACAGTTTTCCCCACCACGATTTCAAGCTGCTGCAGAGAGAAATGCTTCTATCATCTTCCAAGTTATCAAGCCATTTTGTTTTGATTTTCGGAAGGCGGGGAGAGAGGAAGCAAGAGGATGGAGGTCAAGAGGATTCAAAGCTGTCTGTTCTTTAATCAGAAGGAATTATTGAGGAGACTTATAAAGGAGATTTGCTCAGAACAGAACTAGCCCTGGGACGGGTCTTAAGTTACTACAACTGGCTTCTACTCCAGAACAACGAACGAAGGTGTGTGTAGCTGGAAAGAAACACCCACCAGTGTCCTCTGCGCTGAAGTTTCCGGTGTCTACCTCCCACTGCTACTTTATTTACTGCAGCTGGCCACAGTTTTATAGCCTGTTTCATGTATTAAAATTCAAATGTGGAAAACATTACCAGTATCCTCCTTGAATTTTTTTTTTGTTGTTGTTCGGGGGTGGGGCGGAGGGGGGGAGTGGGTTTTTTTTTTTCTCTTCCCCTTCAACTTCCTTTTTATTGTGGAATGTATCAAATGGTCAAAGGCTAACTTCAGACTGACTAAATTCAAAAACTATTTCCTTTGTTCTTATGTTTTTGTTTGAAAATTCATACCAGTTTGCGCGAGGAAAGAAATGACAATCTGATCTCTTTCACACACGTTAGGGTTTCAGGCTGGGAAGCTCAGACTCTGTGGACCTGCTGGATGTTTTTGAGAAGAAAAGAGAAAGACTGCAAAACCTCTCGTGGTTTAAAGGGCAGCAGGACATCCCCATGCCACGTCTTTGGAGTTTGTCTACTACCTGGTTGGCTCTGCGGGCATCCTTGACTGAATTATAAATGTCTTCAGATGAGTGAACAGGAACTTCTCCTCATCAGCAAAACTAGCAGCTTTATTGCTTCTGCATAGCTTTTTTTTTTTTTTTTCAAAATCAAATCAAAAACGTTTCTGTGTAATATTGGCCGATTATTTCCCTCCTTCTGTTGCTCTGCTCGAGTCTCTCCCTTTCCCCTCCCCCAGGTCAGTCCAACTTCCCATCTCTAAAGTTGACTCCAGTCCCTTCCTCCTATCCCACCTTTGAATCAGACTCAAGGGGGAGGCAACTCAAAGGTCAAATAGTTCCAAAAAGTATAGTTTATTATTTTAAAGAACCACTTAACCTACATCTGGTATTTAAGAGCAAACTTTACATATTTATGGAAAAAATTGTCTCTGAAGCAATGCCCTGGGTGCACATTGCATGCATTTAACATATGCAAAACGAACACAGCTACAGAAATTAAACTATTTTTCTCTTGATTGAGAGCAGATATAGAGAAATGGTTATAAGTCACAGATCTGGCTTTTAATAAAGCCAGATTTCTTAATTAAAAGCAGTATTGTTTAAACATTGTAGTTTAAAAAGAAAAGAGCTGTACAAACTAAAACCTCATATTATATGCATCCCAAGTGTATTTAACACATTACCTGAGGCCAAGCTAAATTAAAATCTAGATTTTCCTTTTGTAAACTCTTAGCAACTGCCGTGAATAGACAAACAATTTTTACTCAATGATGAATTTTTAGGATAGAGGTCAAGGAAAAGCAAAAAAGAAAAAAAAAAGATTCAGCTTTGGCATTCAAAAATATCTTTCCACGTTTTAGAAGTGAGTTCATTGCTTCTATTTATAAACCAGTATTTTTGGTTTCAAATTGGTTGCAGGTTTCCATCATATACTGCTCAGGATGGTACTCTCAATCCTACTCTTTTATTAAGAGAAACTGAAAGGAGGACAGAAGAATCCTATTGAGCAAGAACTGAAAGAGCCTCAGAATAACCTGTGCTTATTTTGTGTTCTCTTCTTGGAAGCATCAGGAAACAAGAGATGCTACAGTGGTAGCAGAAGACAGACCTTCATCCAAGCAACTTTTTAAAGAGCCTACAAGGTACAAAACAGGACACTAAGGTGTTTGTTGATCAGGCAGGAGTTTATAAGAAGCAAAATTACATAGAGTCACTAGTGATTAATTCTCCACCCATTCGGTCACCTTACTGTCATCACTTAATATTTTGTTAGGAAGATTCTGAATTTTCATAATCACCTAAATAAAAAGGGTGCACTCCCAAATCCTTTTCAGAAGCAATGGGCCGAATTGAAATTCCAGTTGTAATACAGACAAATCTACTTAAATATTATTTAAATACACACCTATTCATAAACGGGTAGTGATTAATACAACTACTATATCTTGAATTATACAGTCTCACACCATATATTTAGACCAATAAACATACCAGATATTTCTGCCTCCCATACTCAGCATCAAAAGACATCGATTTGGATTCTTCAATAATAATAAAAAATTTCAACCTGTTCCATATCTGAAATGCCAACAATGTAACATGTACAAAAGTGGGTCCTTTAGATGCGTTACTAAGATGAAGAATTTAAAACACCAGCAATGACCCAGAGATGTCCACCTAGGTATATACTCAGGTGACATGAAGACACACGTCACACAAAAACTTGTACTCATAGGAGCATTATTCATAATAGCCAAGAGTGGAAAGGACCCAAATATGAATCACCTGATAAATGGATAAATATAATGTACACCTATCCAATGGAATACTGTTTGGCAATAAAAATGAATGATGCTCTGATACAGGATGAAATATGTATAAACCTTGAAAACATTACACTAACTGGAAGAAGCCAGTTAGAAAAGACCATCACGTATTGTATGATTCCAGTGACAGGAAAGATCTAAGATAGGCAAATTATACAGACAGAAAGTACATTAATGTTGCTAGGGTCCAGGGAGAGGGAAGAATAGAGAGTGACAACTAATGGGGATTTCTTTTTCTTTTTTCAGGAGGTAAAACATTCTAAAATTAGACTGGTGATGGCTGCATGACCCTGTGAACATACTAAATAAAACACACGGAACTGTACACTTTAAATGGGTGAATTACATTGAAGTGAATTATATCTCAATAAAGCTGTTTAAAAAAGAACAAAACAGCAGTAGTAGTATTTATACTTGAAATTCTAATTCTGTTAGGATCAGTAATTAAAGAGTCTACAAATGCCATCACTTACCATGAGTGAATGTCTGTTGGCTGAAAGAAGACCGGTTCCATACCCTGAGCCCAGACCACCCATTGCTCCATTATGAGAAGGTCCGATGATTCCATGCATGTCCCCATGACCACCAGGCATAGCTGTGGATGGGCCCACTGCATGATTCCGGAGAACGTGAATAGCATCATCCAGTCTTTCTAAGCGATCTTCAATTCGGCTTTGCTGTTGATTAACAAACAATGCGAAATTGGATTTAGTCTGAAATGCATGCAGAGGTTATAGAAACAAAACTTGAGTTGACACAAATCATCCTTTGAGGTTTTGAATATATGTTTCCAATGAAATTTATTTCATTAAAACAATAGTAGATGGTGACCTTCCTAGAAAACTAGTAGAAAATGTTAATGGTATATCATAGTGTTATTTGTCATGAACAAAGTAATCTTCTAGGACATTACAATGTACATCTGCTATACTAGGTTGCATTTGCTTGAAAGAGAATTTAGATTTACTTTAGAACAAAAAAGTCTATAGAATGTAAGAAACATTGTAGCAGGCATTGGTTAAGGATTTCAAAAGCTTAACAATGAAAAGATGATGCATTTATAGTTTCCCAATTCAATGATCTTCTTGGATGCATATTTCCTTCATCTCCTCTATAGCAAATGATACAGGGCTATGTATCAAGTCAGAGACAGGTAAATGCATACAGACTATAATTTCCTATTGAGTACTATCTATTTTTACCAATGTGTCTTGTTTTCTATCTATTATCACCAGCTTGTGTGTGTGTAGAGGAGAGTAAGAACTCAAAATGGATATAGAACAAACATTAAAAAAATGTTGTCCACCAAAGTGGTATGAGATTTCACGACTGAAGAATCAGAAAGATGTGAATTAACTGCTTACCGGGGGCTTCTAATTGATTTCAAAGCCCTTGCTCTGTATAAAATTCACCTTATACAACTAAATTATAGAATTCAAAACCAAGTAACTTTTTTTTTTCATCCCAGCCACTAAGATCCTAGTTTTCTGCAACTAGGAAAGGTCGATGCTATAGAGTTTGTGAGGAAAAAGGACATGTAGATGTGTATGAACTTTTTTTGGTATGATCAATAATGATATCAAATAAACACCTGCTTGTCACTTTCCAGTGTGTGTTTTAAAATATGCCATCTCACTGGCTCTTCATTCTCCATGTGTAAGGCAAGCAGGGAAGGATTATCCCTTCCATACACATGTGCAAATGAGGCTCAGAGAAATTAATTATTAACTACTCCGTGTCACGATGCTGGGAAATGGTATAGTGAAGGGTTGAATCTAAGTCTTCGGACTTCAAATCTAGTGCTGCTTTGTACCGGACCATGCTACAGTCTACTTTGACTTCCACTGGGCTGTGCCAACAGATGTACCAGCTCCACTGCATGAGAAAAACAATTTCTAATTATTTTATACTGACAGAAGGAATGTGTGTCTAATACAGTTAGTCTATGGTACAGAGCATTTCTGATCTGGTGGGCTTTGGTGTTAAGGGACCTCCCGTAAACTCCTAGCTGCTACTTATGAAATCTTTGACAAGGTACTAAACCTCTTTGAGTCTATACTTCATAATTTATAAAAATGAGAACGGTAATACATACTTCCACATGTAAATGTGAGCATGAAAGGAAGTAATACACGTGCCTATCATCCTTTCTGGCTCACAGCTTCCTTGTGGGGAGAGCAGTTTCTCCTTGTGAATCCCCTCGTGAGTGTTGAGAATTCAGAGGACTAAACCCATAGTTCGTAACTACAAACCTAGACTTCATGGCTATACAGTGGCACATAACCTAGTTTTGACAGCTGGGTCCCAGAGAATAACTGATGGAGGTAAACACTTAAAACTACTACGGGCTCTCTGGAAGTGGGCTGCGGGTTAATTAACTAATGTAGGCTAAGCAGGTAGTGCATACGTTTGTCCTGCCCTGTGCCTGCCTTTATTGGCCAAAATGCATGGCTGAATGATTCCACACTACAGCAAAGAAGACCACAACCAAGGGGGAAATCCACCTTTGTATTTCCATTTTTAGATTTTCCTTAATTTAAACAGTAAGCCAAAAGAGAAGAAAGGAAATTCTGGCCTGCTGCCAACACATTAAGTTAGGCAGATATCAACCAATCAATGCCTCTCCCGTGTTCTATCTCAAAATATGGATGAAAAAAGGGAAAACCATCCTTGAAGGGCTGAAGAGCTCCTTGCTGCTACCTCTCCCCATTTGATTCATATAGCGACCGAATACTGCCCAGAGCAATGTTATCTCATGCACATTTTCAGCCACATCCACCATGACTTGAGAAAGACTACAGTGTCAGATAACAAATCATCATGGGATGAGTACTTATAATATTAATTGCACTCATGGAAATTTTCAGCTACTCCCTAACGGAAGAGCAGACATTTAATGACATGAGTCGATTTCGAGAAGAACCAAAGCGAACATGGAAACAGATGGTAGACTTCTCATTCAGAGGTGGAGAGAAAAGCCCTTACAAGCCTGCCACTCTGGAAAGTAAGGCAGAGGTCTCCTGATCTTCAAGTGTTCCAGCCACGCAGCTCGGCGTGACTCCAGCGCTCTCCTATCAGTAAAGTGATTCAATCGTTGACAAGGATCTTTCCCAAAGACAGACGGATGCCACTCTCTCTCCAGGATTTTTAATCTCTTACCTGGCCCTAGGTATTTGGAGCCCTCGGGCTTACAGCATCTGGGTTACAATCTACAAACAGCAGTAAGTATATATGTATATATATATATATATATATATATATATATATATATATATATATATATATATATATATATATATATATATATAGTCTAACGACTCAGGCTCTAACCAAACTCGTGTGCTTAACATTAGTCTAAAGTTCCCCGCTAGTGAAATAAGAACCCTAGAGAGTCAACTAGATGCAAAAAGAGAAACGTGGTATACGAAGTGGCTAGAGGAGAGATTAGAAGATGAGACTTACCAAAGAGTGTAAGGGTCCTTCATAATTAGGAGATGATGAGGCCTGTCCTCCATTTCTGGACCAAACAGCTGTGCCTGCTGGTATTAAAATGGAGGTTACAGTGAAATCTACATAATCTGAAAACAATCTCGCAGACATTTTAAACAGTCCTTTTAGAAACAGCGATGCTGAGTTTTCATTTGTACAATAAGGTCAATACATGTAAACTTCCCATACAAGAATTCCGGGACAAGGAAAACGTTTTCAACTCAGAATTCTCTCAGGCTTCTTCCTAAAAGGGCACATTTAACTGGTTCTGAATTTTAGCTAGACAATGGTTCCTACCAATGGTTCACAGATGGTAGTGAAGAAAAGAGGTCACTACCATGGTCAAGCCACTTTTAAGAATGCAAAGGGGGATTCTGTTACACCTTCATTCATGCAAGGCCAGTCTGTGGAACCAAAATTCTCTCACCAATGCAAAACAGCACTGCTACGGGTTTTAAAAATGATCCTTAAGAAGGATAAGCCTTCCAAATTTTTTAAGGGAGTAAGATTAGTTGGCAGTGATCCACTAAACCAGAAATTTAAGAATTCAATATAACAACAGTAATAAGTAGGTAGTTCCTTCTGAAGAAAATGATTGTTTTGTGATTCACTGAACTTTATTTCTGCTACAGTAAATATTACATGTCTAACCTGCAAAATAAAAACCACTTTTCAATTTAAAATAATGCATGCTACATGTGGAAACTAGGAAATAATTCAAGGAAGAAAAAAAACCCTAGGATCTCACCGTAATCTTACGTCCTGACATGGTTAGCATTTTAAAACTCCTTTCTTTCTGTCATTTCTGGGTGTGCATGTATGTGTATTTTTATGCTAAATAAAAGTAGGACATTTTGTTCAATTACTTTTAGTGACAGAATATGGACAGAGCCAGCTATTTTCAGTGTGAAAATAGCAATTTATCCGCATATTTACATCTTCATAAAGTTCTTTCTTCCTAATATGTGGTCTTTCATGGTGCATTAGCAGGACCCCAAGCGGCCTTTTCTCTGTGTCTTCCACATGCCGCAAGCCGCTCAGGTTTCGGGCATTTGTGGTGTTTTCTGGAACGATTTGCGCATCACAGCTTTCCTTTCCTCTCTGGAAGTGGACCAGCAGAACGGTGAGCAGCGGATTCTCGCCGAGCTCTGGTACCGCTGCTCCTGCAGCCTCAGCAAATCCCACACCCGTTCTGGGCCCTAGTCGGCTCATCTGTAACATCAGAGCATCAGACTAAAATAGTCGTGCTCAGGCCTTATTAGACTCTGGACGTTTTTCTTTTTGTTCCCCCAAACTATAAAATGGATGAAATCAGAGCTGCTTTGTTTGAAATAGGAAACTTGGAGTTCTCCCTGCTCAGGCTCCCTCACCACCTGCCTCACTGGGCTAGATGTTGTCTCTGCTCTTCTCTCGCTCTGGACATTGACTCCAGAGCCTACCGGTATAATACTGACCCAGGGGTCTATAATAATTCTAAACTTCCCTTTCCTTCCTGCCACAGGGAATGTTTCACGGTTGTTCCATTATCCTCTTAATACCATCTCTGCTTCCTTGCAGTTTCAATTCTGTCCGTCTGGACGGGTGGACCTAAAGGTTCGGCTATCCCTCTCTATTCTGTGACCACCCGCTCCGTGTGAACGGAGGCTTGGAAAAGGCTGACATTCGGTGCTACCTAAGCCACGGCCATCACCTCTGAATTCAAGCTCTGGGCAGTCTGAAACCTCCCATTCTTTACCAAGGAACCCAGTGTCTTTAAGATGGGCACGTGAGTGCCGTAGGCAGGGAATAACAGGAGGCGAGGAGGCGACAGGTACACGAGTGACTCCACTACAGATACTGTAAGGTTGGGTTTCAATCAGGTATAGATGCAATTTAGGGTTTTTTTGTTTTTTGTTTGTTCGTTGGTTTGCTTTTTTTAGAAGCCACATGTCCTCTTTCCACAGAACAGAGACGTGCACCGGATAGGGCCTTCTGGAAGCATTTATACTAGAAGGGCAATGAGCCTCTTAATTGGAACTCTGAAAAGTGAAATGCTTTACTAACATAATTCAACAACTTATAATTTTATTATTTGAAGCCACAGGTCATGCTAATTTGTTATATTTTAAAGGCAAACGTCTCCTTTTACTCCACACAGTTACTTCCCAATTTATTTACAAAATTATAGTTTTCCTCAAACATGCCAGTGATGTGGGCTTTAAAAAGGGAATGTGGAAAGTCTAAAATTTCTGTAGGAAATGATCCTTTTGAACTGTCTATATTTGATGACTATATAATTTATATTCATATTCCTGACTGTATTAACTGGGCTTTCTCATTGGAGATGACTTGTTGGGAGTAGGTTATTCTGTTGAACATCTTCTACAGAGCTAAGATCAGTTTATGAAGGAAGTTTTCTGTATGCCTGTGTATTCTAAAAACATCTAATTTTTAAGAAAACTTTTGGATGTAAATGGCTATACTTTCATATGGCAGTCTCTCTCTCTCCCACTCCTTTCCATTTGTCTGTTCGGAAATGTTATGTGTTGTGCTTTTGGAGGGAGTGAGTTTCCGCCTGCCAGACCAGGAAGCATGAGAGGGAAAGCATTTTCACAAACCGGTACCGTGGCGGGGTTGGATTTAGGTACAGTACCTGAGAGAGAAGGAGGAGAGCCGACGGGAGTTGAAGGGTTTGATGAAAAGCTGTTGTTAGTGTGATCTGGAGAATAGATCTTAAAACAGTGGGGAGAGAACAAACAAACCCTCATTTATTAGGAATAAAGAGTCAACAATTCTTTCAACGACAAAGTGTCATTCCAGTCACCTAAAAATTGCAATTTACAAAACACATGTAACAATCAACTGTAGCACCAATATTCTCAAGTGGAAACTTTTGCAATTACTTTAATTTTCCAAAACAAGGATTATGAGGTCATGGAAGATGGTATGGACAGAACTGAACAGGCTCAGCTGACTGTACTTCTAGTCCTTTCCCTCCCATGTCCTACCATCACTCTGTGGCCATGAGTAGGTCACACGAACACCCCAAACCTCCCTTTCTTACTCCATCAAATAGGTTAGACAGCATCATCCCTTATGATTTTCATTCATTTCTTCTCCATCGTGATTAAGGCATTTGATGCCAAGGCACAGGAATGCCCAGATTAAATATAAACTTTTACTTAGGTCCCAACGCTAAATCAAATTTATTTTATGCTCCCAATGGTAAGGCAAAACCAAGTTAGAGCAACAAATCTCCACTTACATTTGCAAATGACCATGTTTAGCTTTTGAGGACCATACGGGTATACTCCCTCAGACAAACGAGGGGGTGCTACTTGGTCACTAGTGAACATGCAAGAAATGTCCCATTCTCTAGGCTCCTCGCAGTGGACGGGCAAGGCAAAGAAGCCGAGTCCCCAAGTGCCGATAACATGACAATTTCTCACGGACCTAAGTTATGGAGTTACGGTCACTGTTTTGTTTTTTTTTTTTTTAGTAAGTGCCTTTTCCAAAGGGTTTTAGAACTGCCCCCTGCAAAGTCTGTCTTAGCTGGTCAATGAGCCCCATATGATTTTAGAGAAAAATAAGAAATCAAGATAGACAATCTCTACACCACAAAGCCCTGAGAATATCTGCAAATCCATAACTGAGGACTGCTTAATGCCATTGTGAGGAGACAGGCTGGAGGGGTCAGCCATTCACTGGAAGCTTCAGAACTCTCTTCTCAAATTTTCCAATAATCATTCTGCAAGAAGGCTAGCATTTCCAGAAATCTAAACTATTTGCCATTCATTTTCTACAATTCCAAATGTCCACTTCTGCTTAAAGTTCACCCTTCCACAATGGTACATATGAAGTCCAAAGTCAATATTTCCTCACCGAAGCAAGTGCTTTCCCCAGAGCATCTCCAGTCTGGGAGCTGCCTGCTGCCCCGCTTCCTCTATTTGCTGCAAAAACAAAAGGCAGAATATGAAAAACCAGGCAGTGAGACGTCTAACAATTTTCTATTCCTGGTCCATTTACTCACAATCTAATTGCATTTTTAATGCTAATTATAACACATTAATCTTTAATTAGCATTAATTTGTTTGCTGAGGTAGATGTCAAATATATTCATGTTACTTTTTTTACAGATAAAATATAAACCTGACACTTTGGTTTAAAGATGAAGTGTTTCAGTTGCTATTACTTGGCCCCCTTGTTGCCTACGAGTAGTTAGTGCTGAATGGTAGGTAGCACCTGAAGTTCATTGCTAAGAAGTATGCAGTACTCAGGTCTCTGAAGCCCTCAAAGTTTGCCTTTTCTCTGTATTTCATACAGTCAGTAGAATTGTCTTCACAAAGAATTTATGTCTCCTTTCCATTTTTTAAAAAAAACTGATACACAGTAAAACAAGGTGCTCCTCTCAGCAAAATAAAACAGGAAGTCTACAACAAGCCTGGCTTCCTAGGAGAGAAAATATTTTTAATATTTTAAATAATACATATTCTCCACATACTCAGGTCTGTGTTTACATTATAAAACCCTGAACTAAAAATCAATAAAGGTCTCAAATTCCAGAGACAAAATAAGTCTACATATTCAGAAAATTATCTGTCATCTTTTAACACTGGTATTTTTAACCACAAAAGAGATTCTGAACCAAGTACCGTTACTAAAAAGATGCAGATTCTAGCATGTGATTCAAAGTCAGCTCTATTTAACAGTGTTAATACAACACCTACAACATTTGGCATATTACATTTATTAAGGCCTCAACATTAGCAAATAGACATAGTATTTAAATAAAACCTATTAAACCCAAGGACCTGGTTTCACTATTCTGTGAAATAAGAAAAGGAAATCTTAAGTCAACTGATTAATCCAAGCAGAACTTCACTGCATACAACATAATTGAAAAAAAAAAAAAATTCCCAGCCGTAACCTTGACCCAAGAAAGCACACTTTGCTGACAAATGTGTCATCTGCTTCCAGATCTGTAAAATGCAGTAGTCGGGTCAGATCTCAAGTGGTTGAATTCTCTGCTTCTCTAGGTTATAATTTCATTCTCCTGACTTCTGCTTAGCATAGTTAAATTATGCTTGCTATTTTTATATATTTATATGTTGGGTATGTCAGTTGGATAATCTTTTGATGTGTGCTTGATTTGGTTAACAAAACCCACACCCAGATTCATTCGTTAATTACTAAAACTGAAAGAAAACTGGTAGGTGATAAAAAAGAACACAACCACTTTATGACAAAACAAAACTATTCTTTTTTATATCACAAATTCATAATATAAAAAGTATATTGGTTATTAGCACTAAGGATTATGGGTTGAAGTGCATCTTTGAAATGACGGTCAGACATACAATTGAGCTGGTGGAAGGAACTCACGGATGTCAGTAATATTAAAAATACTTAAATGTAAGAGATAACTGAAATTATATCTCCTGTGAAAATGAAAATTTCTGCATTGAGTTCTTTAAAAACAAAAGACAATTCTAAAGAGAAAACAAAAAAGATTTTGAAAACACAGAGAGCACTAACATCTTTTTAGCATGTATTATTGATGGTATTTGGGGGCAAGTATATACATTTTTTTTCCTACAAGCAGTATTATCAAATATACCTAAAAATTAGATTTATCAGTCAAACTGATTTGTGATCTGCTTGATTAGAAAACAGATCTTTGTGAAATGGAATTTCAGAGCCACACTAGAAAAAATTGTATTATCTAACAAAAAAAACCCCTAAATCAAAAGAGACAAGATATCGTTTCAAGTACAAATGAACTTTGCTACAGTCGTAGCTTTGAAAAGATTAATTCTTCCTTTGAACAACTTTAAAATGAGAAGGACAAACTTTTCAAAATATATTTTCATGAAAACTCATGGAAGTGTTTTAGGAACATAAATGTTATACAAGTGTAAAATCACACTTTAGAAGAGATAAGATGTATCAGTAGGATTACTTTTTGTACTACAACTTTCTAACTAAACTTTCTATTAGTGCCTGTTTTATAGAGGGAGATACTAGGACTCAGGAGCTAGAATAAAAACTAGCATCAACTTCTTAGCTCATGTTGTCATGAAAATGTTTCAGAAAACTACAAAGCTACTCGTGGAGGCACTGGTGAGAACAGACTATGTTTTTCACATGAAGCCATTCTACCTTGTAGCAGCTGGAGGGCCAGTCCTAAGGGCTTAAATTTCAAAGCAGTTTACTGGGGCCAATTTGCCCTTTCAGTTGGAATGCCTTTTGTTCTGTTCCAGGAAACGCTGGAGAAGACACATTTTCGAGCCCCTGAACATGTTAAGCTACATGGGCCCTTCTCTTAAAGATTTCTCTTTTTGTGTGACTGATAGGTCAAAAGGCAGAGATAAACAGAAAGTGAATTTAAATTCTCAAATGGCATAATCTTTTTTATACTGAGTAGTAATAGGTCATGTTTGGCTAAACATACTTCTAATTAAACTTTGTGCTCATCAAGTCCACTTTTATGGCTTTAATGTGACGGGACTCAATTACTGTTCCAGGCCCAAGTTTTTGTCAACTCATATTGTTAGAAATTACCAAAATTCTCATATAAAGGAACAGAGGTAAAAACTACTGTTCTTACTAGGTGAAGCCTGGATTGATTTCTTGATATTTTAGCTCTAATCAATTTCTCTTGCTCAAGAAAAAAAAACAAAAACAAAACCAAATCAGTCTCTAAAGTGGTAAGGTAAATAGGAATGGAAGATGAGCAGCTATTAAAAGGAACTGCAATTTTGTAGGAGGATTTGAGACTGCCAGCCCCCAAAGCATTATTCAGATGGCTTGAACACAGGTGCTGTTGCTGGCTAGAAGTTGGAGCACAAAGAAGGGTCTGGTATCTTTGGTTTCATGTGAGACCTTGGTCTCAATCTCAGCTTTGTGGAAATGGCAATTCCTATTAGAACACACCCTAATCAAAACACCAGGAGTGATTGGGCACTGGCCCCTGAAAATCAAAATTTGGAACAATGTGTCATCCCTTTATTGCACACCCATAACCTCAGGCTGGAAACATCGTGAAGATACAAAAGGAATAAGAAGTGCAATTCATAGTGTATTTGTCTGGAAGATAATGACAGCTTTAAAATTTAGGATTTTCTGAATTGTGTCTAAATGACCCTCGTGTTCTTAAACTATTAGAAGCAGCATACAGTGCCATGAGCTCCTCTCTGTAAGATGACAAGAGAAGGAGCTTTTCTAGCACTCTTCCTACACATGAATAAAGACTCAAATAGAGGCTATAATGCACTAATTTTTAGCAGGACGGATTCCTAGGAATCCAAGGGGGAGGAATTGGGCCCCATGACCATGTGCAGGAAATGGAGGAGAAGACTTAAATCAAACTAGTTTATTGTTCTCCGTTGGTGGTCTTTGTAACTAAGATGCCATGTCACTGCTGGATAAAATCCATATTACTCTTATGCTCTGTGCCTGTTCATCACCCAACTGTATTTGAAGGCTCAAGATTCTTACAAAAGACAAAGTGAATATTATGTGACTACTCTAATAATAAAATTACTGTGAAACCAAGTCCTCAAGGGGAAATGGACATACTGTTTCTACTAGAAAAGCCACACACTAAAATGCATCATGTCATACAAACATGTCATTAGGAGTGAACGTTGTAAGCCAGATTAATTTCATGAACCAGATAGATATTCCAGGGTAATCTTTAGCATATGTTGCATTAAATCAATCTTGGTAGTCTGTTCCTTCAACACTGTTTGGTTTGAGGTTTAAAAACATGGGAAGTACCATGCATTAGAAAGCAGGCCAGTTAAAGACTAATGAAACAATAATAGTTATTATAAACATTATGTTAGTTTTATGTCCAATTCCCTCCGAGGGGAAGAGAGTGTGTGTAGCCTCTAACAACCAGGGGTCACATCCTGGGAATGTATACAAATGGTATTTCCCAGTGGGCAGCTGGAGCGCTCTTGTCCTTGAGGAGTCTAGAGGACTGTGTTAGAACAGGCAGTGCTCTCAAACCTTTAGATCAAGAAGGGGTATTAGACATTGTAGGTAAGAAGGAAATATGTAAACAGTAAAATATATAAGGCTGCTGTTCTTAGAGATTTCTATCCTCTACAAGCTGGTATCTAATAACTTACTACACTTCCTCTGCGTGCATGCTCACGTGAAGAGGCACTGGACTGGACTGCTTCTGATATACACCCAGCAGCATTACATCCAAAGAGTTTTAGGAACAAGTTAAAAGGCACTGATGGTGGTAACTGTGGAAGACTCTGGATTTAGCTCCTCTCTAACTGGGGACTGTACCAGTTGAATTACTAAGAGTCCATGCTGTGTCCCGTGCATTATATTCATATAATTCCAGGAGCTTAATAGGCCCTTCTAATTCACAAATGTCTAAATAATCTCCAGGGTTTGTTGGCAAGGCTTCAGAAGAAAGTAGTGGACTATATGCCACAAGTAAAATAAACTACAATTCACTTGAAAATCTACGGATGAATGTGTCATTAAAAAAAAAAATCCTGTCATTATAGTCTGGGTAAATTTTGTCTTTCTTAAGTATTTCGTAAAAAATGATATTGGGCATTTAAGGGCAAAAGAAAACAAAACAAGAAACAACGATCACTCTACCAAGTCAAACACAAGCCATCTGAAACCATGGCAAGCATCTTCCATTTTTGAAATGCAGAGGACAGAACCAGGGGCAAAAGGGGCAAAGTGACTCCAGGGGGCTCCCTTCTGAGGGTTCTGAGCTTACATCTCACACCACGTGCATTTTGTTGCTCTAGGGGCAGGTCAGGACATTGACTGACTTCCAGGAAGACACATTATAACGCGAAACTCAGAAGTGGGGCCATGATCTGAACTGAAAAAGCAGCTAGCTTCCTAAGACATCAACGCCATTTATGAAAAGATTGCTTTGCCTTGCACTTTTTTACCAAGAAAACTTGAAAAATGTGATGTCCATGTGTTAGTGCTTGAACCCCATTCTTACGGCATTAGTATTGCTTATAGTCATTTTCTACAGAATCATGTGTGTAATCTCAAACATGTGTCAGGCTATGTGTTCCCTATTTACCAATTATTTAATTAGCTCTGTTTGTTCTTTGAGATACAGGCAATGTAATATTTCTTTATTTCCTGCATTTCAGAATGAGTGAGTATATGCCAAATATTTTCAAAAGTCTACAGATGTATCCTATTAATCCATACTGTTTGTCAGGGAAGTATCACTAACATCAGAAGAAAAATCTTCTCTTCTTGTTATACAGACATGCTGCCTTCCCTGACTTCTACCACACTCTGAAAATCCATCCAAGGCCTAGGAAAATTAAAGTGTGAAGAAACATGAGCCATTTGACAGCATGCAATACTAAGGCTTATTATCATATTTAAATTTTCCTCTGTATTTTAATATAAGAAATTGGAGGACATATTATTTTAAGAAAGAACATTCTAGAATGTTCTCCCTTAACATAATCCTTAAGTAATAACTGCATTTATGCAAGTTAATAAAGGTCTGTTCCTCCAAAAAGCTGAATTACCATGTCTACTTATTTCCTGAAAAGATTATAAAGCTTTCTCACATTCTGCTAATAGATTTTGACAAGTATACCCATGATTACAGAATAATTTATGTAATAAAGTTATTCTTAAAAACCTTTTCCTGGGTTCCAGAAATCTCATGTTTTTCTCGTAAAATTAAAGCTCTTTTATCATTGCCTCGACCTTCCTTCCACTTAAACAGGGCCCTGTGGTCTATGTACCAAGTTCACTCCCTCTTTAGTATAGAGGTGGGTCCGTCAGGATGCAGTAGTCACCTACTGCTCCACGCTGTCCAGACCAGATGAAGAAGGAGAGCAGACATTTCTTTTCATCCACACGCTAATGATGAGTCAACCATCTTAAGTAAAGCAAATCTCATTCCCACTGAGACTTGTGGCCATGCTGACCACAGCTCATGGAAAATGATTATTCCATCTCATAACATCTCTTTCTTCCCAAGTTGCGGTGCCTCTCTCCCAGAAAGGCTGTTTTGTCAATCAATCAACAAAATTTTTTTTCAGACAGTGCCTGAGTATGTTTTCCTCAACTCAAGCTTTTGCTCCACCTTTATACCTTCCTAAAAAAGAAAATTACTCAAACCACAAGTAGACAGGAAATCTGCCGTGTAAGAGGATGAATGACCGGTCATCCTTCTTTATAACTAGACCTCATGACTGTAGAGAGGGGCTTTCCATTTGTCAAACCACATTGAAGTGAAATATGCTTTCCTCACTCTTTCAGTTCTGCACTTCTTTCTTTCTTCTTGTTTTTCAAATCTGCCAAAACTGCATTGATAGCTAACCCAACTTCCCCATGTGACCTCTGTCCATAGCTCTCCAAGGTCAAACTGATGCAACACACTTGTAGAAGCTTTGTTATGAAAAGCTACAAAAATGGAAACTCTTATAAATTTGTTTCTTAGTGAGACATGATAGCGAAGGGCTGCTAGGTGGTTAGTCTCAAGTGTGAAATACATTATTGAATAAGCAGGGAGTGTATTATTTAGGCAGAATTATATCTGCAACATTTCAAAGTACATCTCTTCCCTTTCATCAAAAACACTCCCACATAAGTGATTCACACCACTTTCCCAAGTCCTATGGACTCTCTGAAGAAAATGAAAAACTGCAAAGAGCTAAGGGGAATAAACGGCAGGATTATTCTGCCACACGTTCTTCTCTCGAAAATGAACAGTTTATGTTCTCATCAGCGACCCACTAGAAGTGATCTTGAGGCCAAGCAGGGTGTGAGTGTGAGCTAGTACCAGAGCAGTGGCAACCAGGGAAGTCTGAGGTTTTAGGAGACCCTGAAGCACCAGGCTGGCCTGCTCCTCGGAATGGCGGAGTCGTTGAGTTGTTGAAGGTGCATCTGGAGAGGGGTGACTGCCTCCTCCCCAGCCTGGGACTCTTTCCTCCAGGGACAACTGGACACCTGCCTAGCTCCTCCCTCCGGTGGAGGAATCCTTTGTCCAGAGAGACAATCACAATGGACATCAGGAAAAACCAGGGATGACGGCTGAGTTCTTTGGCAGCAGCGCTCTGCTTGGCCTCAACTTCTTAGTAAATCTGCTTGAGAGAAAGCAGTGAATGCCTTCTGGCCCACTGATGCCCAGGTGTCTCCTCTCCAGTAAGGGAGCAAACGCTTCGTTTCCTCTGAAGGACTCCACGATGCCACGTTCTCTAGGAGGTGAAGCCTTATTAATAATCTCCTGTGAATTTCATAGGAGCTAGTCTTCAGATGTCATGGGTAAGAGCCTAGCACGGTGACTGGGGCTTGGGAAGTGGTCAATAACTACTATTAGGAGCTAACCTGCCCTCTATCTTATTAGTCTTCGGCGGTTTGTCTTATAAACATTCATTTTGCTCACCGTTTGGGAATGTGAGAAGCAAGGTAGTTTGGATCTACTGAAAGCCTTGTTCAATCTAATACCTCACAATGAACAAAGTAGCCAAATTTCAGTTTCTTATGACAAAAAAAAAAAGTGATTATAGACAAGCCAATGCCTATTTCTGTTTGGTTCATGTATTTTCATTCAGTTACGTGACAGATATTCATTGCCTGATTGCCGTTTGATGACGAGAAGAAAAAAGAGGTCCTATATTATTAAGCCGTGACATTGACTGTCGGCGTCAGAATCGACATTTCCATGACTCACCCATTATACTGTCTGTCCCGTTGGCAGGAGGCGTACAGGAAGAGGTGCTGTAATGGTTTGTGCCACTACGATGGAAAGTGGACATCGGAGGAAGACTGGAATTGATGTCTGCTGAGGAGTGTGATGGATAGCTCTATAGCAGGAAGCAGAAAAAAGAGACCATATTCAACCATAAAATACTTAATGGGTTAGGTTTCTAATACTTCTTTCAGAACTCTTCATTTTGCAGGAGATAGCTCTTAGAATTTCAAAATATCCAAGAGTATATTTGACAGCTTTCATTTTTCAAAGAATAAAATGCAAAGACACATAGTTATTTGGGTTTGCATCGAATGCAGAAGAATACAATGGCAATACAGGACAGTGAGAAATGATTATAGTCTCTGAATCTAAAAATTACTGCTTAAAAGTATCTCTGAGATTTCAGCAATGTAAAAGACTGTTTCCACTATTAATTTTTTTGTATGAACTACTGATCAAGTAAGAAAGATTCCATGGTACAATGAATAAAACAATATCATGACCCATGGGGTTGACATTACACTTCATCCTGAACTTCTCGACACTAAATGGTGAAAACAGTCAGCCTCAAATCCTCTTCCTGCAAAACTGGATCACCTTCCTGAATTCTAGTGAGAACAAAATGGTAAATGAAAAAATTTTAAAACTACCAATGATTAAATACCTTTATAAATATCAGTATGTAAAACAAATCAATGACTCTATTGAATTAAACTGGAATGAACAAACTGAGAAGGACTGATTTGATTTGAGTTCTTTCTTTCCATGTTCTCCTCATTAGCAATCTACCAGATAGCTGACTATGAAAAAGGCATATCTTTACAGAATCATTTGTTTTAAGTTTGGCTTTAAGTTCAATTATTATCCTAATTGTCCAATAAGCTGCTTTTCTTGGGGCATATCACAGAGCCTGTAAAGAAGCAAATTTGTTGCTACTGATCGATCTGCTGGGGAGTGAGCAGATCACTAACAGGGACATGGTTATTTACAAAAATACATCAAGCTATTTCCTTTTTCAAGATAAAAAAGTACCCTGGAAAGTCACTCTCATAGATATCTGAATGTGTTACAGACCTGTAAAGGAAAACTATTTTGGGTACAATACACTTTTTTTCTTATATGTAATATATTAATCAGCTATGGATTTTTATTACATCATTAGTAGAGATTCTATTAAAATTAGAGATTGAAAATGATGCTAAAAGTCAGGGGTGCTTAAAGCCCAGGCATTTATTCATAGGAGTAAAACCCTGGTGTCTTGGTACTTCTGTATTAATTTTGTGAGGCTCATCTTGGGTTCTAGCTCTTCCTTTAGCATTCCTTCTAACTTCCAACTCTTGCATGATCTCTTTTCTCTGAATCCCTAATGCACTCACAGTCTGCGCTGTGCCATTTAACACTTAATTATATGCTGCCTTTCATTGCTTTCTGTTCCAAGTGCATTCCCACCTATACTGTGAACTTCTTAAGAGGAGGGAATACAGCTTATACCTGTGCATCCGATAGCTCATGGCTGAGTGCTGACCACATAATTACCTTATACACTCAATGAACATATGGTTATTGGTTGGCATTTAATAAATAGTGGACTGAAATACTACTCATTTGAGAGAGAACTAAACAGTCTAGAAAATGAACCTATGTTAGATCTGCCAATGACATGGTGGGTGCCCTTGAAAATATTATCTCTACATACATATTAACTCTACATAAAATAGTCCAACTGAAAGGTCAACTTCAGTGAAAAGGTTGAGATGATACCTTCACCTTTCCAAGTTCCCAAGAAAATCTTTTAAACTTTTTAATTTTATGGAACTCTTTGCTTGATCCCAAAATTCCTTAGGCCACCTGTTAAGCTCATTTCTACTTGCTGCTTACAAAATATCCCAAGTAGTCCATGAAATTTTCTCTGAATAACAATACAATGGGCCCGTTCCACAGTACATCTAACCCAAAAGACTGGGGAAGTCACAGAACATAAACTTACAACAACTATCTCTGCTCGAGAGCTAAATACTGTAATAAAGTAGAGAAAAAGAAAATGAACATAGAAGGAGGAAACTGAAAGAAAGAGGTGGTTTGCCTTCATTTCCACACAGTGGTATTCCATGCTGAATTTCTGAAGAATAGAGAAGCTTTACAAATCAGTCCCAGATATGCAAAAATGAAAACAGTGGAAAAGAATTTTGAAAAATATTTAAATGAGTATATAATCACAGGGTGAAGCAGGAAGAAGATTATCACATCAGGGAAAATTTCTACACACTTTTAACCTGGGGTAAAATCGGCACTAATTCAAGATTTAACAGACAGAGGGTTAATCCTGTGTTTAGAGAATGACAGAAAAAGTCCCACCCCATAGGTTTTAATGGGGAAACCAACGCAATCCACGTATTTAGGGACCATCGATGACAGGTGCCCTCAACCTCTCTTACTCCAGCTATTGATGCCATCTGCCCTGCTTGCTATGCATGGAAAGGGGAGACTGAAAAAGAGCTATGGCTTTACATGCCTACTATTTAATTATGTTTACTTATGATACCCAATTAATTATAGCATATTTGGAGCCTTCTGACAAAGTACTGAAAATATTTCTATTAGTGATGTTTTTAGCAACTTATGGGGTGACAATTCAAAGATTAGAAAATAAGCAGTGGCACATACAAAGAATAAAATCCTGCTTTGGGCTAAGGCAAGGTTTCACAATGTTGGCACCATTAATCTTTTGTGCCAGACAATTCTTTGTTGTGGGAGGCTCTCCTATGCATTGTAGTATGTTTCCCAGCATCCCTGGCTTCTATCTGCTAGATTTCCTGTATTACCTACTCCCCAGTCATAATATCCATGAACATCTTCGGACACTTCCAAATGTTCCCTGAGGGGGTCAAATCACACCTGGTTGAGAATCACTGGGGTAAGGGTTTATGTTACAAAAAATAAAAGAACTTGTCTTTTATAATACACTTCCAGGCTCCTAGGACTATTTCACTCTGTGGCGCAAAGACCATGCCTAAACCATGCCAGACAGAGGACTCTATTCTATTTCTAAACAGAACTCGGCCAAGTCATTCCAAACTTAAATCTGCAACAACCCATTCCAAAGCTTAACCACAAACTCCATTCTTCTGAGTGATTCTGTATGTACCTCTGTGACATAGTAGAGATTAGCTGTGGGATTGCGTTGTAGAGGCTGAAACCATAAAAGGGATTGGAAGAATCAAGCTTGGGGTCTTGACGGTTACGACCGAAATGTGTGGAGTTTAGGCTCTACACATCCTATTACAGCATGGTATAAAGAGATGAAGACAGTAACATTTCTAAAGTGTTGTATCTTTACAGACAATACGAGTTTGGCCCAATTATGCCCCCAAATCTCTTCTTTTCCTTAGACAATGCCTTTGTTCTGCACGAGACTGGCCAAAGCTACAGGCAAAAATTGTGAGGAATTACCATTATTTTCAAGTGAAAAGTCACTAAGTGCCTACTACATACTCACATTTTTCTTAATCAGTGTCAGATTTCTGAAAGGCATTTCAATGAGAGATTTTCAAATGGTTGAATACTGAAATTACAATGATTACTAGATATAATAATCCAACAGTTTCCCTACCAGTGAGAAAATTCATTAGGATACATTACCAGAGACCTAATTCATTTACCATTAAAAAAAAAAACCTTGTATCTCTAAGAACTGCTAAATAATCATGTTTAAGAATGAAAACTCTGGGTTCTATGACAGATAAATGACATTACAAAGATAGCATCTGATATAACCTGTTGGTCTACTCCTTCAAATAATCTTTCTTCCTGGGTTGATAATATTGTTTTGGTTTTATGGTTTCCAACAAATTTTTTTTCTAAAAGGAATGTAGTTGGTTTCCTTTTTAAAATTACACTTTTTATGCATTTGAGCATTTTTTAAAGATACCTCCGCCCATGCAGTGAATTTGGGATAAAATCAAACCACCTACCTCAAAATTCTACAGCATGACAGTAAAAGAAGAAAAGAAAGAAAGAAAGAAAGAAAGAAAGAAAGAAAGAAAGAAAGAGAAGGAAAGAAGGAAGGAAAATATCAAATGGACAACTCTTAGAAGAACTGACATTCCATGTTATGTTAGTTAATACTGCCAAATCTTTTATTTGTAATCAAAATTTTCCTTGCTCACAGGACACATGAAGTTTTGGTCACGAGTTCCTTAGAGAAGTGGAAAATGATGATGGGAAATAAGGATGTTGGCCAAGAAGAAATTCTAGTATAGTAATAGTTGATATTTCTTTAAGTGTTTGTTCTAATACCTGAAAGGAGGGGAGAGAAGATGAAATTTGCAAATTATTTGCTATTTACTGAAGATGTGCTAAAATTTGAGAGAGTTTGATTTACAGATGATATAAACTTGGCAGATGATATCAAAAGGCCAATTCCATCTCCATCATGTGCCTCTCCTCAACAGATAGGCTAACTGACCACAACTAGGACTAACTACAGAGGTATTTTCAAAGATATCAGAAACTGTAACTTCTGGAATGTTTTTATGTTGTCAGAATAGTATAGAAGTTACCTTTTCTATATCTCTAATGGTTAAGCAAAAGAGAGGACAGACCACAGAAATCCAGAAAGTACTATGTCTTATAGCAGAACAGAGAAAGACACATGAATCTCGTGTTAGGAGAAGAGAAAGGGGCAATTTCAAGACGAAGAGTAGTGACACAGGTACCAGGAAGGATCACTGGATAGGCCACATCCTTTTTGTATCTGTAGGATTACAGCTTCATACATTTTTAAAGCTATATTACTGCCCAAGGGGCTCAGTCCCCACCTTAATTGCATCTCAAACCTAACTCATGATCTAGAAGCAGTCTTTCCTCCACATAATGATAGACTTAAGTTCATGAGTGGATTCTGGGCTGTGGGAGTTTTTGAGGCTAGAAAAGATCAGATGATCAGATGAACACTGCTTCCTTCAAGATAAAGTGCCACATTAGGATGGATGAGTGTAGGCAATGGGTGGAGTGGCCACTCCGGTAATGAAAACAAGGTAACATTCTACAGCTCAGCACTTTTCAACTGAGTAAGGCAAGGGAGCATCAGGGGGAGGCTGGGGAGTATGGAGTTCAATAGCTAAGCTACTGAACATTGGGAATCCGATCTATACGGAAACCCCATGGTTGCTGTTTCTAGTGGACTGTATGGGAAACAGGAACTCTTTCCTCTGGGTGTGGCACCAAGGGTCAAAGCTGTCACCAGGGACAGAAGCCGGAAAGAGGAAGTGGAAAAGCCCATGGGAGATACAGGTCACCTACTCTCAGTCTACTGACTGTCACCCTGCCCCCTGCAGTATATTCTTCAAAACTACAGACAGCAAATAAAAAAAAATAAATAAGTAAAAGGATCCACCATAGCTAAAATTCTGCAACTCAAATGCACTGTGTCTTTATGTGCCAAAGGAGCCTAACACTGTCGTCAAGAAAGCACAGAATAAGACACAACGAACAGAAGAACAATAGCAAAGAGAATCCAGAAAGGGCTTACAAAGGTGTTCTGATTTAGGTAGGTCTTTGATCACAGACACAATATAAGAATGATGGGTGTATACCACTTTTGCTTTCATTTACAGAGTCCTTGTGTGCACGCATGGAAAGACAGAGGATGAGATTTCAGAAACTAGCTGTGTTGTGTCCAGAATCATGTAAATCTGCCCTTACCAAACGTTCGTGTGGATGCAGGCTACAGTAGCTGCTAGACTGTGGAATATGAGAAGAATTGCCCAACATTCCTCCGTAGCCAGGCTGATTCATCCCACTGGAGGAGCTCCAAGGGTCACTGCTGTGATGGCCATCTGTAAAAGACAAAGAACACCATGACTTTTCTGAGGCATTCAGCCTTGCCTCACAGAATAGGGTTTTTTCATATACTTGAAAATGGCTGCCTGTTGTGTATAGGTCTTTGTGCTGTTTCACTGATTACATCAGAAGACAGTCAGCCTCATTTTTTCCCAAGTGGTTCTATATCGCTAAACAAATGTAAATATTTACCATAGGCAGTGTTCTTAGTAAAAATTCAGCTATAAAAGAACAACGCAATACATTTCTATGTAGAGTTATGTCAAGTCTGCAAGGTAAACAATACTAAAGAAAACATTTCTTAGAAGTCCCCTGACCTCTTTTTCTACAAAAACTAAAAGTGAAATTGTGCCTAAATTTCATGGTAAAAATAAAATTCTCGACACATTACAGAGTTGATAAGTTCACAAGTTTTAAAAGCATACAAAGAAATAAGTAATAATGAAAAAGAACATCTCAGACTTAAGAGATCAGATTTTTTTCTCGTAACATACATAGAATTAATGTTGAAATTGCATTGTGACTTAAAGGGAGCAGGATTCTCAGATACACAGTTCTGAAATTTCTTTTGGCACATAGTTCTATAGCTATCTTAAGCTTCAGTAGCCATTGAAAGGGTACACACCTATCATAAGTTAAATATTATGCTACAGACAATTTTGAGAGGTTCTGGATTTTATAAAACCGTAAGTTAAATAGAGGTTTAAAATGATACGGTCATTATATGAAGTACCTTTCAACATTAAGTTAATTTTTTGTTAACACCATATTAAAAACATTTTTATAGATTCTTTTTCTTTTCTGGGTCTACTGGCCTGGAGGTTATTACTAGAGGTCACTAATGTTTGGCTGGGTTTCTCAGATGAAGGTGGTCGGTGGGGGTTGGGGGGGTGGAAATCTATGTGGTTGCTGAATTCAAAGTTTCCCTTCTAATAGTTTAACTAAAATTATTGAACATCAATTGAATGTGGGACCATCAGCTAGGTCACAGCATGGCCTGTTCTGCCTCCTTGAAAATAAGATTATTTTAACATCTGTATGTGTTGTCTAATAAAAACCTTTTGCAAATTTAAGCAATGCATGAGTTAAATCTGCCACCATACACCACAAAGCTCTCCTTCACTGAGATTTTAAATGCAGAAATTAGAATTCCAAAAACTGGAATAGTTTAAGGACAGGGAGGAATGATCAATAGACTTCTTAAAAAAAAATCATGTCGGGGCGCCTGGGTGGCGCCATCGGTTAAGCGTCCGACTTCAGCCAGGTCACGATCTCACGGTCGTGAGGATTCGGAGCCCAACGTCCAGGCTCTGGGCTGATGGCTCAGGCCTGGGCCTATTTCGATTCTGTGTCTCCTGCCCCTCCCCGTTCACGCGCTCTGTCTCTGTCGACAAAATAAATAAAACGTTGAAAAAAAAATTAAAAAAAAAAAAATCATGTCTGTGTTTTTGACAACTCAGGAGTTTTAATTAGAGGGTGGAAGTTCAAGCGAAAAATGAGAGGTCACATAGTAGTGAGTTTGAGATATGCTCCTGCCACTCTGTAAATATCTTTCACCTGCACTGTATGTCTCTTTAAGCCCTGAATCCTCAGGGCACCATATGCCCCCCTCACTGCAGGAACCGGATGGGATACTGTTTCTGTGATGATAATGTGAAAACACAGGACTTTCAAAAAGTTATTATTCATGTACTGAAGACTTAGCCTTCAGACAGTGGAAGTTTAGATGTCACCCTAAATTCAAATATGAAGTTAAAGCCCTAACATTTCAAATAGATGGCATCTATGACAAATAAATTGAGAATGTGTATCAGTGAACAAGAGTCTCCTGAAACATTCTGACAACATGATGCGGTATACGGAAACACATTTAGGATTTGTTAACACACAACACTCTGCTTAGTGCAGTCTTATAAAAATACGTAGTTTACATAAATTATGCTTTTCACAGTAAATTAATATTTATCACATCCCATGATCTGGCATAATGTTGTTTGGAAAGAATAGAATTAGATGTGTGCAAATTAATTGTGCTCATCATAAATGTCAACTTTTTTTTTTTTTTTTTTTTTTTTTTTTTTTTTTTGCTTTCTTGGGCATTCGTATGCAGAAAAGCCAAGTTTGTTCCCCGTATTTTGCGTGGTCTGCTATCCAGAAGAGCCTGCTGTTTTAATCTATCTGACTCCCATGCGGTGTGCAGTCTATGCAAGCACCTTCCTGAAGGCAGACAGAAGAAATCTATCCTGCCAATTTTCTCGGTGAAAAACTGCTTTGAGTGATGAATCACTACAAGCACCAGTGGTATGGTTTCTCCGGTGGGTCATAAAAGAGGGGAGCTGATGCCTAAGTGGCTGCTTGTTTACAGCAAACGGGGATAAGGCTTTTGTCATGGCAGAGGACACACTGAAATGACATACCCTGTGTCCCTTGGTGAGTTACACCTAGGACAGGTCACAAAGATAAAGGACCCTTCTGAACACGAGCTCTATTATGTGTGGAACAAATTCTCTCCAATCCTAAGAGACCCATTCAATTCAATTTCATAGATTTTCCATGGAATTTCACATGTGAACTCACAACCTAAAACAAGCTAACACTCTGAAGGACAAGAAAATAAAGCCCTTTGAATCAGAATGATTTTGAGTGTGTCCACTGCAAGCTAAGTGAGACACTTAGCTGCCCCGCCTTGGTCTCACTGCTCCAAGGGCGCTCCCCTTCCCATGATATGGCCCTTCCCAGAGTAGCATGGAAAGGAAATCCCACGGCACTTTGCCAAGGCACACTCAAAAAAGGTTTTTACACCCAGGCAGGAAGAGTTAAAAGTTCTGCATACAGGTACAAGAGTTCTTGGCAAACTCCATGTCTAAATTTCAGAGTATTAACTTGGCAACAAGATCATCACATTTTGACAACAAGTGTCACAGGCTTACTGGGGACAAAGCCTTAGGTGCATCTCTGGACAGTCTATTCTTACAGGCAGGTGCTGTCACTCTAACCACCTCGGTCTTTTCCAAGCAGCAGTGGCGAGAGTATAAGCTCAGGGGGCACACATCAACGTACAGTTAATTCAATATACTGCACAACTGAAAGTAAATATACTTTATCTACTGTGAAACTGTAATTTTCTAAAACTGTCTGGGAAAAAAGCTGGGTCTTTTACCCAAAATCAATTTGCATGTTGGGATGGAGCTTTCACTGTGTAATGAAATCATACTCCAGTCTTCAGATAGGTTTGCTTCACCTTAAATGGGACTCTTGTTCTTACCTATAAATTAATAAGTGGCTGAAATTTTTATATGAAGTTATACATAAGGACAATTTGTTCCCAGCTGGCTACATCCAGGATGCTCAAAATACACACTGAACCAAAACACTTCCAAAAATACACATACGTTCTTCTTGGGGGAGTGAAGACGCTGAAATGATCCGTCAGGAAGACCATCCCCGTCAAAGCATCAGTTCTAAGTGAAGCCAAACAGTTTTATCTAAACTCATCATTGCTCAAGGGGATTTAACTTAAAAAAATAAGTCTTAGTAGAGTTTTAATTAATTGATTCATTTTTAACTAATTCAATTCCTAAGAAGAGCATGGCCTTCAATATTCTCTGCTTGCCTAGTATTCCATTTTCTTGAGGATCCGTTCAGCAGTGTTTTGCCCCATGCATGACCTGAGAAGACCTGGGGAGATTCTGCCCAGTGGATTTCCCCGCAGAAGAGGCAGCATCTTACCCTGCATGAAGAAGGAGCTAGGGAAAGTGCTGGCTGCTGGTTTCGAGGAAGGGTAGCCTGGCGAGTCCCTATTGTAGTCGGCAGTGCTTGCTGATGGAGCATAGACCTGAGGAAGGAGAGACAATTTAGTTTTCCTTGCTGCATTGAACAAAGCACCTCAAGGTCCATTACTTGAGAAGAAGCAGGCACTAAATGCTAAATTTCTATCATGTCCATCCCAGATCTGTCAAACCCTAGAACACTACCCCTTCCAGAATACAGAAAAACCATCACCACCACCACCACCAACAAATGCTGAGTATATTTGTGTGACTGGAAAACCAGGGGGTGGGAGGGGTGGATATTTTCCAGTCGTAGGCAAGAATACCGCGAACTATGTCTTGTTAAATGTATTATATAATACCCACAGGGCTGTCCTGTCCAAGCATCCTTTTTTGTTTGTTTGTTTTTAAACATAGACAGCCTCTGAGCACATGAAAGGTGAAAACAGAAGGGCATGCGTCAAGCCTCTCCCTTTTACTTGAACTTTGAATTAAAATTTTTACTTCTGAGAGAAAGAGACAGAGACCCAGAAAACGAATACACTATCCAGACCACAGAAAGTGACAAATACATCTTGGAATATTAAATTCCCATAGTGTCAGCTTTTTGCAGAGCTGCATGAAAAAAGACCATTAAAAGCCCAGATCTACATAGACCACCAACAATCAGCATGTACACAGGAAGAGGGGGGAGCACTCCTTTACAGCTCTTATTATATTTGTGTGTGCAATAAACTTAAAAAAAGTGTGCCAAAATCCTAATTTACTGAACATTCGTTTACTAATACTCATGAGAGTTGGAGAACCAGTCCTTTATAAAAATAGCCTGTGTATTTTCTTGTTTAGGTTTCCTTTAAAGAAGAGAGCATAGTGGAAAAGCATAAATTCATAAGGTATAGTTTAACTTTAATTGGTTCCCCCCTTGCCTTTTCTGCTAAATATAATTTTTTTAAATCCCTATTTTCTTTTGCTCCAAAAGTTCCTCTCTCCAGATGGTCGGAGAGACTGAAACACTGTCATCCTCTTGATGAAAATGGATACCTTCCTGCCTCCATTTTGAAGCAGGCAGAGGCTCACAAAATTGGCAGAGAGCCTGCAGTGATATTCACAGGTCACAGCAAAAGAAAGAGAAATTCACCAATAAAAAGGCAACTGCAGAGTTACCAAAAAATACTCCCATTTTTTTACAGTGCACATCGAATAAACACCCTAAGAAAAATTATATAATTGCTCTCAGAACACCATGAATCACAAACTAAGCATTAATACAAGGTTTAGGATTTCACAAAGGATAGGTCCGCAGAGACAGATGTGGCAAAATATGCATACACATACATACATCAAATAAATGCTACATATGCCCCACAGTGCCCTTGAAAATTGGGAGGTCCTGGAGATGGGACAAAACAAAAACAAACCAGAAAAACCTAGGCACGCTTTAGAAAACAAGGAATTTTCCTAAGTCATAGAGGGATACAAGCCCCATATTACATGGGCTATACTTCACTTTATTTTTTAGTTCTCCTCACATTTTAAATATATAAATGTCTATTTCCTTCTATTTCCACAGAGCTTACAAAAAGGAAGAAATCTTCTCAATTATCCCTAAGAGACAAAGAATAAACCTTAACCCAGGAACCCCCAAACAAATCAATACCCTAAAGTTCTGTCAAGCGAAACCCAGCATTTTCTTGGGAACTATACAACTAATAAACCGTTTGGGAAATGCTACTGAATGTATTTAGAGGAGGTCTTGAGAGTAGGATAACAAGATGAAGGAAACCTTACTATCTAGAGAAAGGGGAAACTGAAAATCAGATCGCCTCTGTGATATTATCTACAGTACAGGCTGTTAGCCGGATAGCTGTTTGGCCATTGGTATTAATACAAGCTAAGTGTACTACGTATCACCCCAAGTTTCAGAAATTAATGTATGCACTGTAGAAGTGAAAATAAACTGTGACCCACATTATTAAACCATCTTGTATTTGAAAATAATTGAAATAAGTTCTTCAAGGATTATATAGTTTAATTTTAATTATATTCTACTACATTAACTTTAAACATGTCATGTATATTATTAAGTCAACACCATGTGATGGCACCTAACAAGTTTCACCTTTTTTCCCGATTTGGGCAGAATTGGTTGATATTTCTTCTGGGAGATAAGGACATATCTTTGGTAATTCTACTCATGTATAAGGAGGCTACTTGGACTATGAATTATGATCGAGTTCAAAGACCTAAGAATAAGATCATTTATTCAAAATTCTTAAGTACTGCCTGCATAAACAAGGGGCAGGCAGAGAGGGAGACAGAGAATCCCAAACAGGCACTGTCAGCACAGAGCCTGATGCGGGTCTCGAACTCATGAACTGTGAGATCAAGTCCTGAACCAAAATCAAGAGTCAGACACTTAACCGACTGAGCCATCCAGGCACCCCAAGACTCTTCATATAAGATGAAAATCTTATTAACAAGAAATGGACCATTGTTTATGGTAAAAAGGCATCTTTCCCACTTCAAATGACCTTTAAGGTAAAGTGCCCTATAGAACTGTTTATATAAATACACCTTGCACAGAACTATTGTACTTTTTTTTCAAAGACTTTATTTTTAAGTAATCTCTACACCCAACATGGGGCTCGAACTCACAACCCCAAGATTAAGAGTCACATGCTCTGCTGACTGAGCCAGCCAGGCACACCTATACTTTTATTTAGTTCAGCTCCCCTCCTCCATTTTAATAAGAAATTTGAAAATGGAATGGTCAAAGCAACCGCTCAAGATCCGCAATTTGCCCTACATGCTGTGCACAGCTATCAGTGGCACTTTATTTTAGGTTAGTTTCTTTAAAAATAGTGGTAGAGGTGTAAGATGATATTTATGAAAACAGATTGATCATAATGCTCATACTTCAATTTATCCTAAATATTTTCATCTTTAGTAACCTGGATGACCAGGAAGCTGCTTCATTATTTTTACTTCAGTCAACTATTTTGCCAATTTCTCAATCAAAAGACTTCAAGGTATGGGTTTCAATAATGTATTTAATAGAGACACTAAATTCAATAAGAAAAGCTCACATACAACTGATTTTAATTGTGCTACTTTAGGTAACTAGAAAGAGGATTTGTTAACTAAATATATATATATTTAATATAACAGAACAATGCCAAACGTCCCAGATACCTTCAAATAGTTAGAATCATTTTAGTGACTAACACCAAAAAATCAGTCCAATGAAAAATGAAATAAAAATCCCAAACTCTAGTTCAGTATACTGAAGTGACCCTATCTATGAAACATCAGAAAAGTCTAACGAGAAACAAAAATCTACACTTAGTTTTTCTCTGATAAGGCCGCTTAGATCAAGGTGACTTTTGGCATTCTGATTCCTCCCACAAGAGTAACCAAAGAAGTGTGAAATTTCGGTTGCAAAATTGGAAATGGGAAACTTGGCCCAAAGCTCATAGGCTGCAGCTCTTTTAGTGAACTATCTGTTGAATAAAAGCTTCATGGCAAACTAGTGGCAAAGTATAGTTTATGTTCAAATTTAGCACCATTATATTTTCTCTTACATTTCTGAATTTAAAACAAAACCATGCATACAGAAATCTGAGTTTAACAAATCTCTCTAGATAACACTAACCCCTGCACTGATAAAAATAAAAAAAAACATTTTCATACTATGTATTTGGTTTTTGTTGTACTTTGAGAAGTATTACTATATTATATTAGCAGTTCCATCCAATGTTCCTGGTTATCCTTTGCTCAGTCATCAAAGAAATAATACAGTACCTTCTTTTAAATAGAACGTTTGCCTATTAGAAAAGAAAACCAATCCCTCCCCCTCCCCAATCAACCCTCAGTTTGTTCTCCACATTCAAGAGTCTCTAATGGTTGGCCTCCCTCTCTGTTTGAAACTATTTTTTCCCCTTCCCTTCCCCCATGGGTGATGGGCATTGAGGAGGGCACTTACTGGGATGATCACTGGGTGTTGTATGTAAGTGATGAATCACGGGAATCTATCCCCAAAACCAAGAGCATGCTGTTTACACTGTATGTTAGCTAACTTGACAATAAATTAAAAAATAAAATAAAATCTTCCATTGTAGAAAGAGGGGAAAAAAAGTTAAATTTGGATTTCTTTCTTTTTCACTCTGCTCTGTAGCTTCCTCAGTGGTTAGGCCACAAATTTACTAGCTTTATGCCATTGAAAAGTTGAGTAATAGTGCTGCTATTATGTTGATTATCTGAACAAATGTGACTTAGGAACATTAAGCCACCTTTTCTACATTACCAATCAACTAACTGGTAAAGGCAGGATTTAAGTGGGTCATCGGTCCATATTCTTTCCATTAAAAAAAACAAACACAATTTCTTGCTCTTAAAAGGCAAAAAGAGATATTTTATTTCATTAAAATTTTTTTAAACGTTTGTTTATTTTTGAGAGGGTTGGGGGAAATGGCAGAGAGATAAGGGGGCAGAAGATCCAAAGCAGGCTCCCTGCTGACAGCAGAGAGCCTGATTTGGGGCTCGGACCCTCAATCCGCGAGATCATGACCTGAGCTGAAGTCAGATGCTTACCTGACTGAGCCAACTAGGCACCCCCAAAAACACATTTTAAATTATCAACACAAGGCTGTACTTTGACCATACTTTATAGAAATATTCTCATGGGGGTTTCATAATTACCTTTTAAGAAAGTAAAACGTGATAAGGCATGTTCATAGTAAAACCAATACATATTCATGTTACTTGCTTCCTGAAGTGGGAAGCTAAATTTTAAGGGGATAAAGAGAAGTGGCTACAGACCATGTGTCACGAGGTGTGTCAACTGAGTGGGGCTGGGTGATAACCACTGGGCTGTACAATGTACCTTTAAATTCCTTACCATTACTACCCCTTTGGGATTCTGCAAGAACCATCTGAACACAGAATTTTAACAGACTTCCAGGCCTTAAAGAGAGTTGCTGTATGCTCCATAATGAGTAGAAAATAAAGCAGAATTATGCCTCAGAGGCCCAAGTGCTAGCAGGGTTCACTTACTAGTTTAGACCTT